CTGAGCTGCATGCAGCCCCATTGCTGCGACGGCGATGCTTGCTGTCCTGCTGCTGCTGCTGCTGCTGCTGCTGTTGCTGCTGCTGCTGCTGCTGCTGCTGCAGGGCATCCGGAGCTGCAGGTGCTTCCCTGGCACTTGCAGCTGGAGCGGTGCTGCTGCTGCGCGTCTGCTGCTGCTGACTGTCTCCTGTCTCTGCTGTCTCCTCCTCCTCCTCCTCCTCCCCCCCAGCTGCTGCTGCTGCTGCTGCTGCTGCTGTTGCTGCTGCTGCTGCCTGTCCCCACCTTGGAGTGTCTCCTGCAGCGGGAGAAGCAGCGGCAGTTCTGTCTTGCTGCAAGCAGTCGACGACAGCAGCTGCTGTGTGCTTGGTGCTGCTCCTCTCTGCCTCCTTTACTATTATTTATATTATTTATATTATTTATATTATTTATATTATTTATATTATTTATATTATTTATATTATTTATATTATTATAGTTGTTATTTGTTGCTGCTGTCCCCTTTTCTCTATTCGTTGATAAATCCGTGCGAGAGCAGCAGCAGCAGCTGCAGCGCTGCTGCAGCGTGGCGGACCTGCAGAGACACCTGGGGCTGCCTGTGAAGCAGGGGCCCCCCGGGGGCCCCGGGGGCCCCTCCTGTATGGGGGCCCCCCATGGAGATACACCCCAAGCCTGCAGCAAGCCAGCTGATCTCGCGTGGCAGCAGCCGAGGGGGGCCCCCCTGGGGCCCCCAATACGACGAGAAGATAGACCGAGAGAGAGACAGGAGGAGACATAAGGGGGACGGCGTTGGTGCTGCTGCAGCAGCAGCTGCTGCTGCTGCTGCAGCGGCAGAGGTAAAGATAGCTGCAGCTGCAGCGGCAGAGGCAGAGGCAAACGCCCCATAGTCTGCCACACAGAGAAGGGGCCCCCCTCAGGCCGCCAGTGCTGGCGCCCCCATAGAACAGCAGAAGCAAGACAGGGCCCCAGAGCTTCGCATGCATCTGTATCTGCTGCTGCTGCTGCTGCTGCTGCTGCTGTTGCTGTTGCTGCTGCTGTTGGAGACAGCTCGTCGTCGATGCAGGGAGGCAGCAATTCGGGGGCAGGAAGCGGTACCTCAGAAACACCTACAGGGCTCGTTGCTGCTGCTGCTGCTGCTGCTGCTGCTGCTGTTGCTGTTGCTGCTGCTGTTGCTGCTGCTGCTGCTGGGCCGAGAGGAGGAGCCAGGAGAGACAGCTCCTTCTCTGAGAGAGAATGACAAAACAAACGGCTTAGTTTTGGGGCTGGCGAGCGCATGCAGCAGCAGTGGGGAGACTGTGCTGCTCGCTGCAGCGCAGCGAGCTCCTCCGTCTCCAGCCCCGCATCGATCCCGGCTGTACCTGGGGTGTACAGACAGCTGCTGCTGCTGCTGCTGCTGCTGCTGCTGCTGTTGTTGTTGTTGTTGCTGCTGCTGTTGCTGCTGTTGTTGTTGCTGTTGCTGTTGTTGCAGCTCTCCAGATAGATGCCGCTGGTTATAGGAAGACAGCTGTTACTGCTGCTGCTGCTGCTGCTATTACTACTACTGCTGCTGCTGCTGCTGCTGCTGCTGCTGCTGCTGCTGCGGACCTCGTTGCAGCTGGCGGGGCTGGGGGGGCTGAGGGGGGGGTCGAGGGTGTAGAGGCTGCAGAAGCCAAAGTCAGAGCAGGAGAAGGCATCAGAGGTCTCGGTTGCATGCTCTGCTGCTACCCCCTGCAGCAAATCCTGTCCTTGCTGCTGCTGCTGCTGCTGCTGCTGCTGCTGCTGCTGAGAAGCAGCAGATGACAGCCCCTGCAGCAGATGCACTGCAGGGGCCCACCTGGGGCTCAGGGGCTCCTGCTTAAGGGGGGCCCCCAAGGGGAGAAGGCTGCACTGTTTGTCTTTCACAGACACAGTGTCTTCATCTATGCTGCTGCTGCTGCTGCTGCTGCTGCTGCTGCTGCTGCTGTTGGTGTTGGTGTTGGTGTCTTGCTGCGGCTTGAATTCCCCAGCAGCAGCAGCAGTAGCAGCAGCAGAAGCGGGGGGAGGAGAGCGGGAGACGGAGGAGACACGGAGACAGCTGTGTGGGGTCTCTGGTGTCTCCTCAGCAGCTAAAGAAGAGACAGCAGCAGCAACACTGTCCCCTGTACATACACCCGAAGCGGAGACAGGAGACAGCTGCTGCTGCTGCAGCGAGGGGCCCTCAGGGCTGCTGCAGCAACGCCGGTGCTTGACGGCATCAGCAACTGCTGCTGCTGCTGCTGCTGCTGCAACATACATGCACACAAAGACACAGCATCAACACATAGGATTGCTGTTTTTGCTGCTGCACTGGTGCTGCTGCAGTGCTGCTGCTGCAGTGCTGCTGCTGCTGCACTGCTGCTGTCGCACTACTGCTGCTGCACTGCTGCTGCTGTACTGCTGCTACTCAAATGATGCTGCACAGCTGCTGCTGCTGCTGCTGCTGCTGCAGCAGCAGCAGCTGTTCTTTAAGATGCTGGAGGGGCAATATGTGAAAACCGGGGGGACTGTAGGTGCAGGTGGAGTACTCAAGTGCTGCTGCTGCTGCTGCTGCTGTTGCTGCTGCTGCTGCTGCTGCTGCTTTTGTTGTTGCTGCTGCTGCTGCTGCTGCTCGTGCTGCTGCAGGCAGAGCATTGAGGTGTCTCCTCTCTGTCTCCTTTCGCTTACAGGTGTCTCCTTGCTGGGTTTGCTGCTGAGAGGGAGATGAATCGGAGGCATTGTCTGGGGGTCCCTCGGGCTTGATAGGAAGTGTTGCTGCTGCAGTTGCTGCTGCTGCTGCTGCTGTTGCTGCTGCTGCTGTTGCTGCTGCTGCTGCTGCTGCTGGTGTTGCTGCTGCTGTGGTTGCTGCAGGGGATCCGCTGGGGTCGGGAACGGGCGGGAGTTGCTGTCGCTTAGGAGATAAAACAGCTCGCGGAGGAGACAGTTCCTGCTGCAGCTTCTGCTGTTGCTGCTGCTGCTGCTCGTGCTGCTGCTGCTGCTGCTGCTGCTGTTGCTGCTGCTGCATTGTGCAGGCGTCGGTAAGGGCTTCGCGTGGCTGCGGGTAAGGAGAGGAGGGAAGCAAGGGGTGGCGATCGAGGCTCTTAGGAGAGGCAGCAGCAGCAGCTGCAGCAGCAGCAGCAGCAGCAGCAGCAGCGGTACCAGCAGCAGCAGCAGTAGCAGCAGCAGCTGTAGGAGACGGAGAAGAGGAAGGAGAGGAGGGGGAGGAGACAGCAGCAGCAGCAAAGGAGACAGAAAGGGGAGCTGCAGCGAGGTGTACATCTTTAGGCGGAGATGATGAGCGT